TGAAACATCTGGACACAGCGGCGCCGTTCTGTGAGGTAGAGGGCGCTGTTCTCATCTTTCTGCCCGGTCTGGCCGACATCCAGGAGCTGTATGAGATGCTGACCACACAGCGTCACTTTAGTGACCCCTCCAGGTGAGTCGTCCGTCACGTGTCACCACCATATATGGTCGCTCTTAAGGACAAGCGGGCTAACCCAGATTTCGGGGGTTTCTAGAAATCTTGACCTACACCAAAAGTGAGCATTTCCCTTCGTATAGGAGAAGTTTGGTTTCATTGGTGTGTATATTTGTTTGGTTATGGAGAAAACTCTTTTTGTCTTTTTAAGAAACTGAACAAGAGGCAAAAACTTTTCCCTCAATTTTCTAAGAACTGTGTTTTTCGAGATAGCTCCCTTGTGCTTAAAAGCGACAATATCATCTGCCTCCTGTCACCGAGATAGCCCCCTTGTGCTTAAAAGCGACAATATCATCTGTCTCCTGTCACCAATCACATGTCACTCGTTGGATGCCACCAATCAGATGTCATCTCTCATGTGGCTGAATGATTTCAGATTTTTTGGTTTTATTGAACTCATAAGACAGCTTTGTGGTATGTCTGTTACTCTACGGTTGTTGTGGGATAAAAAAATTTTTTTTTTTAAATTTGAGGTTGGGGGATGGGAGGGAGAAGGGAGATTAAGAAAAGCAACTGATAACTATCTTCGGTGGCCTAGTGGTTAGGCTCTCGGACTCGCAACCGTAAGGTCGTGGGTTCGAATCCCGTCAGGGACCCGACGTTGTGTCCTTGGGAAAGGCACTTTACACAAATTTTCCTCACTTCACCCAGGTGAAAATGGGTACCTGGCTATAGACAGTGAATGATCTTGTCAGTTTGATAGTGTTTGAGCGCGTGAAATCCGCAGCTTGCACTGTATGCTTCCACGGAAGCCGAGAATGTTTCTGAGTGTTTTCAGAGGGTCTGCTGGGGTAATAATGGTTGTAAAGCGTATAGAGCATGCTCTTGAGCATGGATATGCGCTATATAAATGCAATTATTATTATTATTATTATTCATCCTTCACTTTGTCCTTCAAATTGTCCTCTCCTTCCAGGTACCAGCTTCCCACCCTTCACTCCATCCTTCTCTCCATCCTCTCCTCCCAAGGTACCAGATCTTCGCCCTTCATTCTGTCCTTCTCTCCATCCTCTCCTCCCCAGGTACCAGATCTTTGCCCTTCATTCTGTCCTTCTCTCCATCCTCTCCTCCCCAGGTACCTGATCTTTGCCCTTCACTCCATCCTTCTCACCATCCCTCTCTCCATCCTTCACTCCATCCTTCCCTCCATCCTCTACAACTCCATCCTTCTCTCTCTCCATCCTCTCCTCCCCAGGTACCAGATCTTCGCCCTTCACTCCGTCCTGTCGTCCCAGGACCAAGGTCGCGTGTTTGATGTCCCGCCTGCCGGCATCAGGAAGGTTGTCATAGCGACCAACATCGCAGAGACGGGCATCACAATACCGGATGTTGTCTACGTCATCGACAGCGGCAAGGCCAAGGAAAATAGGTCAGTGGGGCACAGCTGGTCCCCTAGTCTAGTCGTTTTACACCGCTTGAAGATAGATGTGTCATGACGGGGTGGAATCAGGCGCTCGTCAATTTTGGGGCATATGGAGCTATTGCTATCATCTTATAGGTTGTAGTTGTCTACCTTTCGATAAAAAAAAGTGTTTATATATCTTGAATAGAAGTTGAGATGTTTGCGATTGAAAGAGCTATAGGTCGCCTGGTTTAGTAGTTCAGGGTTTTACGGCGCTTGCAACTGCGTAAGGTCATATGAGCGGTTTGAGCAAAAATATTAGCAAGAAAATGGCCGCCAAAATTCGATGACTTCCCTAGCTTGAGAGACCTTGGAAACTGAAAATTTTCATTTTTTGTGCCTTTTTTCGTTTTTTTCAGAAAAATTTACACAGAAATGTGTTATTAAATGGACATAAAAGATGTTGAGGCAAAAAAAGAAAATTTTCCAAATGCCAAGAAAATTGGCAGTTTCTTTGATTTCATTACCTTGACGAGCACCTGATTTCACCACGATGCCTGACAAATGAATAAGATTTAAAATGAAATTTCTCTTTTTATCATCCCCATGGGTAAAATTGGTTTACAATGACCGAATACATGTACACGCATATCAGGGCTGGATTAATCATGAGGGAGGCTTCGGGCCTGCTTGGAAAAGAGGCACCCTTTTCAACTCCCCAACCTCCCACCCCTATTGCATTCACCACAGACTGGTGACCTAAATCCTAACATCCTGACATGTGAATAGGACACTTCCAGTTAGGAAATACTGAAAGGGGACTATTCTTCCAAAGTTATTACACGTAATGGATAAAGGGTGGAAGTCTGCCTGCTACTTGATCTAAAATGTGTGGCTGGGGATATATAAAACACCTACAGTGCAGCCTCTCTATAACGACCTTCGATAGAACGACATCCTCTGCATAGTGACATGGTGCCCAGGTCCTGATTTTTTCCCTTATATATATATGTGTGAGGCAGCGTGGTGGAATCAGGCTCTTGTCAAAATAATCCAAATGAAGAAACTTGCATTTTTTCGCAGGTTTGTGAATTTTTATTAAATTTTTTATTTTTGGCTCAACACTTTTCATGCCCATTAAAGAAGTCATTTCTGTATGGATTTTTCTGAAAAACGTTAATTAAAGGCACAGAAAATGTAAATTTTCAGTTACCATGGAATCTTAAGCTAAGGAAATAACTAACCTTTGGCAGTCATTTTCTCACTAATTTTACCTCTGAAAACAGGTGACCCCCACCTCTCGGCTTGTATTCAAGATAAATGGATACTTTTTTATACAAATAAAGATAAGTGAACAAGCTTTAAGATGATACCAATAACTCTACATGCCCCAAAATTGACGAGAGCCTGATTCCACCACGCTGCCTCACATATATCATTAGTAATATCTTTGGTTGCCTCTCAATAATGACATTTTTTTCTGGTACCGCCGATGTCGTTATAGAGAGGCTGCACTGTACATTTACATTTTTATTTTTATTTTACCCTTTCTTATCTATTATTTTTTACAATCTTCTTTCCTTCCTTCCCCTGCCTCCCCTGCCCTCTCCTCTCCCCTCAGATACATGGAGAACAGTCAGATGAGTGCCCTGGAGGAAGTGTTTATCTCCAAGGCCAACAGCAAACAGCGCGCGGGGCGTGCGGGGCGCGTGCGTGCAGGCTGCTGTTTCAGGCTGTACACACAGGCGCAGCACAGAGAGTTCCGCGCGTTCACCAGCCCCGAGTTGTTGAGGGTGCCGCTGGAGGAGCTGTGTCTGAGCATTATGGTATGTGGGGGTATATGTGGGGGTGTATGTGTG